TACCAATCCAAATCATAAGTTTACACAACAGATTAGAGGGTAACTACACGTCATGCACGTAAAGTGTTTACATCTGATTTAGCTTTGCCAATTCAACCGTAAACATTACATAATCCATCATTTATGACAAATGTAATTTGGAATGTAGGTGGTTGCATTTCATGAAAGAATTACACTCTGGAATTCCATAACATCCATATTACCATATTTAAATTGCCTGAGTTTATTTCTCAGATATACCATGAATATAGTTAAAGTAATTATGGCATGTCTTGACTTCAATATGAAGTCAATATTAGTTACAACTGTACACGCATACATGAAGGACAACCCGACCTGCCCTCCCTGATTCATCATTAATATTTTCTTATTTATCCTAACTAATTAGGATTTATATTAAATGACTATTCTAAAGTGTATAATAACAAAAGATGATAGGAAAATCTAAGTAGTGATTGTCTGAAAGCAGAATTTGTTATTATTCTGATAGCAGATTTTTGCCGGGTGATGATGGACTTGAGGTGGTTTGCAGTGGTTGAACCCCATGCACAGATACCGTAATTAAGATAGGGTACACAGATACCATAATTAAGATAGGGATAGATTAGTTCATAATATAGAGAGATGAGAGCAGAGTTAGGTACATAATATCTGATTGTGGAGAGTATACCAACTGTTTTAGAGACTTTCTTAGTTATGTGTTGTATGTGGGTACTGAAGTTGAGTCTCTTGTCTAGGAATAGGCCAAGAGACTTTCCATCATTTTTATTGCTAATGTTTACATTGTCTATCTGAAGCTGAATTGCATTTGTAGATTTGCTTCCAAATAAGATGTAGTAGGTCTTTTCTATGTTAAGTGTTAGTTTGTTGGTTGACATCCATAAGTGGACTTTTTTTTAGTTCATTATTAACAACATTATTTAGTGTATGTGGGTTGGGGTTAGAGTAGATGAGGGTAGTATCATCAGTAAACAAAATAAGTTTCAGAATGTTAGAGACATTAGGCAGATCACTGATGTATATAAGAAACATTATGATGATGCCACAGTAAATACTGAGCTAAATAAAGTCCATCTTTGGCAAACTGCCAACAAACTCACCCTTAACATTGACAAAACTTTCTATATTCTGTTTGGCAATAAATCCTCTAATCAAATAAATCTCAAAATAAACAATACCCAAATTTGTAACAAATTAGATGGCAAATTCCTTGGCGTTCTCACTGACCACAAGCTGAATTTCCAGGGACACATTCTAAATATATAAAAAAAAGTTTCAACAACTGTTGGCATTCTTTCTAAGATCAGATATTATGTACCCCGCCCTGCCCTGGTGACTCTATTACTCCCTCATCTATCCATATCTCAACTATGGTATTTGTGCTTGGGGTTCTACTACCCAAAATCATTTACGTCCTCTAATTACTCAACACAAAGCTGCTATTAGGACAATATCCAACTCTAGCCCCAGACATCACTCGGTACCCCTACTCAAATCTCTGAATATGTTAGATATTAAGTCACTGCACATTCTCTCATGTGTATTATACATATATAAAACGCTAAACTGTAATGCCAATCCTTACCTCAAAAGCTTCATTGAAGGTTGTAACAGAACCCATGAGCACCACACCAGAAATAAATACAGTTTTGATATTCCAAGAGTACGATTTAATCAAATTAGAAATACTCTACAAATCAAAGGACCCAGAATGTGGAATGACCTTCCCAACCATGTTAAAGACTGTACCTCTCTCAACCAGTTTAAGATAAAAACGAAGCACTACCTAATAAATTCCCTGTAACCTACCTTACCCCTCTATTGTCAACCCATGTCTGTTTTTTTTAAACAACGCTGTTTGTCGACCTAATTGCATTTGTGCTGCTTTTTCAGCCATGTTCCCCCCTTTTTTATCTTTATTTTTATTTGTTCTCAACACATTTTATTCTTTATACTCAATTAGTATTAAGTTTTAGTCATTAATGTTTTTCCTGCCCGAAACGCTTTGCGTAATAGTGGCTTTAGGCATTGTATGTACTAGCCCTATCTATAAATCGATCAATTTTTGTAAAATCTCTTGTATGTATATACCTTACCTGACTAAACATTTATTTATTTATTTATATTATTTATTTATACAAGAAACAACATAATAGACAATAGACTGTGAAGACAGGCGTGTGGCTTCTGACTTTGTTTTTATTAATTAATATTACATGTTAGGTGTTTATCCTTAATACATATTATTATATACAAATATCACTATCACAATAAATGTAATAGAAGTTTACCCAAAAATTGGCCACAGTCAAGGGTTTTGTGCGTTCGACCATGTTTGTGGGTCGTCAGATGTGTTAACGCTGGCGGGCGTCGTTCTTATGAAGCCCGGATTATGTCCATCACATCACTCAACTTCATTTAATAAATATATGCCTGTTAAGTAGAAGATTTTAATGTGTTAATAGATAATTGTGGTTTTAATATTGAGCAGTGATATGTATATACGAAACGAATTAATGTTGTGTGCGAAATGATATAAATGTACGTGTAGGTAGGTGGTGACTGCTTACTGCTATAGTGTTCCCGGCGGGAGGCCTCGCTCGACGACATGATACGTCGTCCCCGTGGGTAATACTGGTGTTGACACCCTTGGGTACATCTCTATGTGTTGCTCCCCCTGTTATACACCCAGGGGGACGAGGTGGTATAGGTCAGGAGGCTGTAATATGACCGGTGTGGGTGACACCCACTAGTCTGTACTAGCAGGCAGGCTCCAATCCCGGGCCTCCTGGGTTACTTAGCTCTATAACAAACTCACGAAAGTAGTAATGTGTGATATACCTGTTACTTGGGTGAGTTAGGTTACGCACTTTGAGTCTGGGCCAGTACCTGGACGGGTGACTGCAGCGTTACCCTTATCTAGGATTACCTGGCATGTGTACAAAGGTACCGAGGTACATTTGTGACAGCTAAACTGGCAATAGAGCAACATGTCTAATAAACTTTTGTTTTTATTTGCAGCCCATCGACACTGTTATAACTGATTTTATTGGTCACGCTTATATTGAGGTCCCCCCTTTCCCGAAGGTCGAATTACTGATCCCTCCCCAGTCAGTAATCCCTCCCCAGTCGGTAATCCCTCCCCAGGGTGTAACCCGCACAACAGTTGCCTAACTCCCAGTTACCTGTTTAATGCTAGGTAAATGGAGGCATTAGGTGGTTAGGGAATGCGCCCAAACCAATTCTGACCCACCCCAAGATATGAATCCAGGATTCCTGATATAGAGTGGAGAATGAACCCAATTGTACTGCCGTTCACCTAATCAAACTTCTTAGCAACCTTTCGGTCCGTCCTGGGTAATGGTCCAGGACGGACCGAAAGGTTGTCGTCTGTTCATTTTCTGGTGTGTGGTTTGGTCATCACATCTGCAGCCACGTTATTGCGACTCATCATCTGCTTATAATGTTGTGATATTTGGGTATGTTGGGTTAGGTTAAGGGAGTACAGTATTTACATTTGCTTTCATACTGTTTTGTGTAGGAAGTTGACTTGTATTATGCCAAATCAGTCATAACCAAAAAAGATCCCTAGAGGCAAGCCAATGATATCAGTGACATCACACACATTGCACATAAATGACCATTTCTTTCATTTTTTTATTTAATTATATATACATTTACAAGAGTTCTTACATTCTTGTAAAGTCACTAGCACACACAGTGTTTCGGGCAGATTTTTAATCCTAATTTTCCCTGGAATATGACCCACCAAATCGTTTAACAATTGGGTACCCATTCACTGCTTGGTGAACAGAGGCTACAGTTAAGGATTGGTGCCCAGTCAACTCTCCCAGGCCAAAGTGCTCATTTTAGTTAGGCTAGATATTTAAAGTAGCAATGACAACTTACTTTTAACCTTACTCCACCAGACAGCATAAAATATCGTTCTTTCATGTGTACCTTTTATCTTTAAAATACAATATTAAAATTACAATACTGTACTAATCCTAATCTCTAATGTTTTTTTCGAGGGATGTAATAGAACTCCTATAGACACTGCACTAGAAACAAATCCTGTATGTACAGTATTTTGTTACCAGTATGTGACTTGGCCAAAGCAGAAAGTAATGTAAATTAAAAAGTTCCTAAATTGTGGAATAGCCTCTCAAGTGTGTAGTACCTTTAATTTAAAAGGGAAGTTAAGAATTCTTTCAATTAGATTATTTAGTTAATCATAATCATTCAGGATTTCCCATTGTCTGGACAGTAAGCCTGTTAGGTTTATTGAGGTCCACTTAGGGCAGAGAATTATTTTTTGTTTTTTTTCAGACTGACTGTGACTCAGATTGCAGTGGCTACTGTTGTAGGAGTTATTGCTGGAACTTACATCTGGAAACCACTGTTAATAAAATACAGGACTGAAAGTGCCCAGCCTGTGGCTGCTGAGCCTTCTAAGTGACTTGTACTTGCTGATGTTGCAATTACTCCACAAATCAAACAATCCTCTGAATTATTGTTATATACCATATAGTTGGTGAGCAAGTGGACAGGATAGTTGCAAGTGTACCTAGTCTGAGGATGTCGCTGAAATTTCCACTCCTCATGGCTGCCTTATCAACTAGTGCTTTGCTTGTAATTGGGTGAGTATTAGTGAATTCTTTGATGCTGAATTGCAATTAATGCATATAAAATACTTAATTTGAATAATCCATATTTACCTGAGCACCTCTCTCTCTATTAGCCTCTGATTACAGGAAGCTGGTGGCTTGTCAAAGGTCATCCCATTTTTTTTTATCTTATACTGAGTAATGTCTTGGTACTTATGGCTTTGGTGGGTAGGTGGTTGCACGGTGCGACGTGATACGGTACTGCAGGCGTACCGGGCAGCTGGAAAGTTGCACACACATCCATTAATTAAATAAAAAAAACTTATGTTTGCCTTTGCAGTATGAGAATTGGGCAAGAGGGAAAGTAATATTCAAACAAAAAATATAACAATTTACTCTGGCAGTGGGCTGGGACCAGGTAAACTGGTGGCAGCTATTGGTACTAATGAGATGGAGCCAGTTGTGAGTGATTCATTCATTTGGCATTGTTAGGCAGTTTTGAGGCTTTATTTTCAGTGAACCCTCCAGTTGTCTATAAAGCACTGCTGACTTTCAGGATGCTTTTTTGTTGGGGGTAGCAATTTGTCACACTGCACCTCCGTGAGGGGACCAAGTTCTAGCTCTGGTGCCTGGTAGGCCACATAGAACTGCGACTGATGGGACCATTAGATGGAGCAATCTCAGTGAGATAGCTTCATAGAGAGCCACTGGGGCTCTACCAGAGAGAAATTCCATTACATTCAACTCTGAGTTTTTTATGGTGTGTCCTGGCACAGAGAATAACAAGATTGATGAACTTTTGTGATTCATCAGGATTCAGAATGTATGTCACTATTAAAGCTTTGTAGCCACATATAGACAACTATTTTCTTCATCGTGCTAACAGTAGAGCACAAATCACCGGTTTTCTTCTGAATACTCCTTAATTCATGTGTGATCATCTTCTGTCTTGGGCTTCTCCATTTCTGATTAGAATAATATTCCAGTCTTACTCCAGCTGCTTTACATCATTGCAATTAACGGTTGCTTGTTGCACCATGTACTATATTATATTTAAGGCTTCCAGTTTTTACAGAGCAGTTGCTCTATGATAATTCCTCATTGTTGGGGACAGGAAGCCTGTACTTTGGCTTATTGAGGCCTCCCTAGGCTAAATACCAATTTCATCCAAGATGCAACACACAACAGTTGCCAAACTCCTGGGTTCTTATTTATTACCAAATGAACAGAAGCATCTGGTGAAAGGAAATGTACTAAATAATCTCTGTCCCGCCTAGGGATTCAACATGGGTTCCTTGATTATGAGCCAAGGATGTAGACCACTGTGCTACAGGACCTTTTGTGTTTGATATTTGGAAGAAAACTGCATTGCCATGTATCTTGTGTAGAGGTGGCCATTATAGAAAAAATCTGGCATTCTGAATATGTTTTGAGCATTGCTCAAAATAATTTCTTTACTGCCTCATGCAATTGTAAGACAAGCCAAACATAATCCATGTAGGATACCAAGAGCTGAGCTGTTTTGTTCATGTTACTTAAAGAGCTTTCCAAAATGACCAATGCCTATCAGTGTTGAGAACTGTGATATGTCTAGGTCATCTATACATTCCTGGAGTCTCTTCTTCACTTGGCACATAGCTGAACTTTCAATCTTTGCTGAGCTTGTGCAGGTAGGCCTTTAAATTTACAATTTCATATAAAATATTCCAACAGTAACTCCATATATATTTGGTTGTGGTTCTGAAATAAAATTGATTTGATTAAAGCATTTTAATAATAGAATAGTTTACTTGAAGGCATAAACTATGGTCGAGAGGGCGAATTGATGCAGAAAGCACCTCGGCATTTAACTAGAAAGTACAAGACTGCCTATTTTCATTTGTGTTACATTACCACCCCCTGCATCTTCCCTCAAGCATGATTTCAAGATGCTTATACTGTACCTGCTTTTGATCTTGACATCATAAAGGTACACAGAGACAAATTTGTGTAGATTTTGAAACTTCAGTAGGGACTAATGGATAGAATGAATCATAGGCCTCGATTCTTGAAGAGGGTCCTTCCAACTATAATATTAAAAGTAACAACTTTAAAATCTGATTACTGTATGTATTACAGATTTTAATTTGCCTTACCTCTCTCCACTTTCTGAAGACTGCAGGCAAATGCCTCCCCATTCTTTGAAAGTCTGAAATATGCTAATAATAATAATAGTATCTGATCAGCCAGGTTGTGTTGGTTTATATGTTGTAAGTGGCAATAGCATGACTGTTTTGTTTTGTTTGTTAATATTCAGTATTGGATAAAGCATTGACAAGGAAAGCCAGTTATTTGTGTTAAAAAACAATATTTATCTTGCTTATTACAAGCTATTCTCTCCTTCAAGGTACAAGGTGGTTGTTGCTCCATATAGATTGAGGAAAAGTTATGCAAAACAAGAAGAATTGGCAGATGTTATATATGAGCGCAGATATGAGAAGACGGAAGAAGAGCAGACACATCATTATTTTCCATCTTCTGACACATTCAAAAATGATACAGAAACATACTAAACATGAAAGTTTTAGAAGTACATATTATACTGCATAGTACATTAGTGTAGTAATAGACAAATGTAATGTATAAAGTGGCTGGATTGTTATTATTGAAGATGTATTTAAATAAATACATGTAATATTGTTTGCTGATGGCTTCTTTCTTTCCTGGGTGCTAAGGAGATAATTCCGAGCATGGAACCTTGATTAATAACACCTGTCCAAACATATTTTTACCTACAAATTGGGTTCTTGCCATTAGTAACTTTGGTTTTCATAAAATTTACAGGGAAGGGATTTTATTTAAAATCTCCTTGTAGCTATCTGAAGCTATGCTGAGATGGTTACCATCTTCTGCTTCTTCTTCTTGTTGATAGTAGGTGCAGTTTGCATGAAGGGTTTGTCCTCCCGATGACTGCACCAGTACTGATGTTGTTGGACGCGTTTATGTTGAAGATGATCGGAGCTACCAAGGTGCTTGTTGCTTTGTGCTGTAGATAGAGGAACGGTGATTAAAACAGAGGTGTGTGTTAGAGGGAGACTTGCCGCACCGTAGGGCGGTGTGTTGTGTTTATGGCGTCAGCTGATCCTTGGTGTTGCGACGAGGTAGTTGTTTTCTGTGTTTAGCTGTTGGTGGCGCCAGGTATAAATGTGGCGCGGGTCAGATGTGACCCAATTTGTTGGTCGATTGGAGATATTTAGCCAGTGCTTTGACTATTTGGTATTTTTCTTGTGACGAGTGGTCACCGCCTCCTAATATATGCTCGATGGTGAAGGGTATTTTAAGTGCGATAAAGACTTGTTTGAAATTTACTCTGGCACTATAATGTCGGAAGCAGTGCAGGAGATAGTGTTCGACTGTTTCAGGCACCTGACAGTGAGTACAGAGTTCGTTGATGTCTGTTCTGTACTTAGAGCTGTGTGCTGCTAGTTTGGTGTGTCCCAGCCTTAATCTGGTCATCGTTACATCAATTTCTCTGCTTTTATATCGGACATGTTTCCAAGTTTCCCATTTCTTTTTAATGGACCCATAGTGCAAAGGTGAGCATAACGTTTTCCAGTTTGTTGCAAAATCCTGGGAGATGGTATCTTTGAAGGCTCCTTTACGTGCAACATGGGGAATTGGATGACGGGTGAGGTGAGGCGTGTCGTGCATTGCTTTGGCTAGTTGGTCTACAAGTTCATTATGGAGAATACCACAATGTGCTGGGACCCATTGGATAGAGGTGTCATAACCGTTCAATTGATGTTTGTGAAGAAGTTGAAGGCATGGGTAGACAATCTCCTTGCATGTTTTCGAAGAGTACGAAATTGCTTGAATCGCGCTCTTGGAGTCACTACAGATTGTATATATCCCAACTGGTAATGTTGTGATGATTTGGAGAGCTTGATACAAGGCATATAATTCCGCTGTGAAAATAGATAGTTGGTTTGGTAACCGCCATCCCTGCTTGAGATGGTATTCCGGTATCCATACAGCGCAAGTGACCGAGGGTACGTTGTTCATGAAGATGCGAGACCCATCTGTGTAAATCTCTGTGGTATTTGGGTAGCAATTTTTCATTGTTGAGACAAAGACTGAGGCTATGGCTGAGTTTGGTGCAGATTTTGGAATGTTGTCCTCGAGTTGTATTGCTGTATTAGGAGTTGTATAAAGCCAAGGTGGAATGGGGGGAACAGGAGGTTGGGTTTCACAGTTTTGAAGTAGGGAGAGGTCTATATTGAGGTTATTTGTAGCCCGTGTGAGGAAAGGTTGCGAGTGAATGGTTGGGGAGCGGGGGTTATATGGGTTAACTGTTGGGTTAATTTTTGATCTGTATGGGTGTGTCTGGTGAGCAGTGGTGCAGAGTGACAGATAGTTGGCACACATAATGTCTCGTCTGGTGGCTAGGCTTGTGAGGCCTGTTTCCCCGTAAAGTCCGAGGATTGGAGTTGAACGCATTGCGCCACATATAAGTCGCATGGCATTATTTTGTATGACCTCGAGGCTCTGTAGGTTAGTGGGCGCCGCCGACGCATATGCTTGGCAACAATAGTCTAGTTGGCTGCGAATGTAGGTTGTATAGAAACGGAGCAAGATTTTATGGTGTGCTCCCCAGGTGGTGCCAGTGAGGGCTTTAAGTATGGCGAGTCGGGGTTGTGTCGTCTGTTTAAGGTGTTGAATGTGTGCTTTCCAGGTAAGTAAGGGGGAGTCTAAGCGCATGCCAAGATATTTATGTTCTCGTACGTGTTGGATGGGAGTGTTGTGTATTGTGAGGGTGGGTAGATGAAGTAGTCTTTTTTTAGTGAAAATCTGATAGCAGGTTTTGGTAGTACTGACTTGAAGGCCCCATTGTTGTGTCCAATCTATGAGGTGGTCCAGTGCTGTTTGCATTGTAGAGACTGTATTTGGTAGGGCATTGTCTGAATAATACAATGTTAAGTCGTCGGCGTACGCCGAGAGGTGAACAGGATGGGTGTTAGGCAAATCTGCTAAGAATGCGGCAAATAGGGTTGGGCTTAGTATGGAGCCTTGTGGAACACCTGTTTGTATTGGGATGCCATCGGAAAACTCGCCTTGTATAAAGACTTTGGAGGTCCTGTTTGTGAGATAGGACTGTAACCATAAAAGTAATCTTCCCTGTACGCCTAAACGTGCAAGCTTTGCGAGGAGGCAAGTATGAGGAATGCTATCAAAAGCTCCTTTGAGGTCTAGGTAGACAACAAGACAATATTTACTGCTTCTGAGAGAGGTGCGGATTTCATGTTCAAGGCAGAGTATTTGATCTAGCGTGGAGCATTGCGGTCGAAATCCAGCTTGGAGTGACGGTATAATATTGTTATACTCTAGGTACCATTGGAGGCGAGTATGTACTAGCCTTTCCATGACTTTACTGAGGCATGATAGTAGGGAGATAGGTCTGTATGACGCAGGTTGGGATGGGTCTTTTCCTGGTTTAAGGAACGGAAGAATAATGCTGGTCTGCCATTGTGAAGGAATATTTCCGTGAGTCCAGCATAGATTGTAATAGTTTAGAAGAGTGCTGTGTGCAGTCGGTGGAAGATATTTGATGAGCTCATATGGAATTCCATCCTCTCCAGGTGCCTTGCCAAGAGGTAGGCGGTTTAAGGCCAATCGTAGCTCGCTTAAGGTGTACACGTTGTCGACGCCGAGCATGGGCAGCGGTATGGCACGGTCAATTTCTTGTCTGAGGGAGAGTTCTTGGGCATGAAGGAAGGGTGTTGAGAGGGTAACTTTAAGGCATTCAGCGAGAACACTTGCACGCTCCTGAGGTGTTTGACAGAGTGAACCGTTGATCATCAGGGGGAACGAAGGGAATGTTGGGCGACCTTTAATGCTGTTAAAAGTAGCCCAGACTTTTGAGTGCGGCGTTGTGGGTGTGAGGCTATCACAGAATGTTGCCCATGATGCTCGTTTTGCTGATAGTATGGTTTTTTTGGCCGCTGCTGTAGCCCGCCGGAGATTGACCCAGTTCTGTAGGGAGGGTTGACGTCTTTGTTTTTGAATGGCTCGTCGGCGTAAAGCGACTGTTCGTGCACATTCCGCGTTCCACCACGGTTTAAGTGGTTTGTTGGACCTATGTCCTGAAGTTTTCTTAAGCATTTGGGTGGCTGCAGAATTTATGGCCGAGGTGATTGTGGACAGGCGCTTGTTAGGGTCTACTTCGTCTGTGTCTGGGAGGCGGACAATATCAGCCCATTTTTTCTTGTCTAGGTACTTAATGTTCCACTTGGGAAGCGTAAGCGGGTGGGTTGGTGGGTGAAAGTTAGTAAATTTTATTATGAGGGGTTTGTGGTCACTACCAATATCTGGTCCAGTATGAAACTGTAGTTCATGTTGAAAGTGTGCAGAGCCAAAGCAGATGTCCAGTGAGGCTTCATAATTGGTTCTGTAGTTAAAGTAGGTTGCAAGGTAGGGCGGCGAAAGAAGAGTATATGGTGTAGTGTCCAAGTAGTTGTACAAATCGGTGCCTGCAGTATTTTGGGTACCTCTACTCCATGTGGGGTGGTTAGCATTGAGATCACCTGTAACAATGATCGGGTGTCGTAATTGGTTAAGATAAAATTCCAGTTCATTTGAGTTTATGGTGCCTCCAGGGTTGTATATACCCAGAAAGGATATGTGTGTACCATTATAAGGTATTAGGCATGCTAGAACTTCTAATTTACCGTTCACAAAATACGTTAGTGTTACAGGTTTACATGTCATATTACTTCGTGTTAGAAGGAAAATACCACCCCCCATACGGTTGGGTCTGTCCAGTCTCTGCATCTGAAAGTTTTTAAATACGGGATTTTGTTTGGGAGTGAGCCAGGATTCGGTGATGAATGCTAAGTCCGGTTTGGATGAGTAGAGGAATTGTTTAAGTTCTGTGAGGGATGTTTTGATGCTTTTTGCGTTCCAAGTCATGAAGGTTAGGGGAGCCATTTAGGATGTTTGGGTTGTGGATGTGTCTGTTTTCTTTGGTGCGCTCATAGTGGTACGAGTTGGATACCTAGATGTGGATGGGGGCTGTGTCTTACTCTTGGTACTGGTGGTTGGGGTTTGTGGCACGTCAGCCTGGGGAGTGGTTTTGGTGAGGCGCGCTAAGGAGGTAATTAGGAGTTTTTCCATCATCTGATCAAACAATGTGTGTCCAGCATTGGTAGCTTTATTTGGGCGGATGTCAGTGTCCGTAACTGTTGATGGGGGGTCTGTTGGGTCAGCCTCAGGGGTGGGTTGTGGTACTTGGGCAAAAAATTTTGTTAGGAGTCGGTCCAGGGTCTTTTCCAGTGCATTTTCGATGCGAGTGACGATCGTTTCAATAAGATCATTTTCGAGGCGAGTGACGAGAGTTTCAACTAAATCAGGATTCAG